CTTGCCTTATCTCATTAGGTCAGTGTGCCGAGATATAATACACAAAAGTGTCGTGTGTCAAGTTGCGTTCCTCCGTTAGGACCCGATCGTAACCGTAGGTCAGGACGTAACAATACTAAGTCATTAATAATTCTGTGAAGCGATAAAAATCAAAATTCATTATACATAAAAATGACTCAAGAAATAATGTACGACCATTTTTTCGTCCTTTTTGTCAGCGATTTCATGATAAAAATACTATTTTGTTTTTCACTTTTTGTCAGTAAGTGTATATGCATATAAGTAAATATTACTCAATAATAAATGTATATTATATCAGTTTATTTCTTTTACTTGAAGTATTGTCAGCACTTATTGAGAAATGTGAAGATGTTACGCAAGGTGCAGGAATAAAAGATGCTGTAATGTAAAATTACATAGGTATAAATATATTGTAAAAGTGTACATAAACGTGTCCACTTATTATACATTATACAATGTATCATAACAGAGTAATTGACAATTACTGTGACATCTCTCGTACACAGGTAGTAGAAATCAAACTGAATTTGAAAGTTCTATACAAGTCTTTTGCGAGATTCGGAATAATTACCGACATCTTAACAGACACACGTTGCTATAGGTAACACCGTAAACGTGCAAAGCGCGTCGGACTGTCTTGTGCGCGTAAAGCAGCCCGATGCATGCTTATTTGCGGAGTTTTGTTAAATAAAATTTCGATAACTATTGCGAATCTTGCAACATAGTATAGGAATTTTTACTTCTGTTTCACTCCTTTTATCTGTCTAAGAGAGATGCTAAAGTAATTATCGAACACTCTGTATATTTAAAAAACAATAAATACTTGCATTTGACAACACAGCAGAAGATGAATTGGAAAATATATTTCTACATATATATATTTCTACATATTAAAAAAGCGGTACTTGTGAAAAGCGGGATGGCAAAACCTGCTACATCTCAATATAAATATATAAATATACACATATATATATATATATATTTGGGTCGGTGGAAAAGTTCTGCGGAATTTTTAATAGATGACACTAGTGTCAGAAAATAACTATATATATATATATATATTAGGTTGTCAAGTATGAAATGGAGCAAAATTTTAATAAAATAAAACTCGATTTTTTCCAAATAANAACTTTATATTTTTAATCAAAGTATGCACCCAGATTATCAATACATTTTTGCCACTTCAACGGTAGCTTGTTTATCCCTTTGCTGTAAAAGCCAGGCTCACGAGAGTCGATGAACTGTTGAAAGGCCGTTTTCACAGCNTCTGCGGAATTGAATTTTTTTCCCGATAAGAAGTTGTCTAAATCTTGAAAGAAGTGGTAGTCAGTGGGTGCAAGGTCTGGCGAGTATGGTGGGTGACGGAGAGTTTCTAACTTCAACTGCTGTAGCTTTGCCACGGTCATTTGTGCGGTGTGAGGTCGAGCGTTGTCGTGCAAGAGGATGGGAGCCAAGCGATTGACCAATCTTGGTTGTTTAATCGCAAAATTTTGCATCATATCGTCTAGGTGCTTGCAGTAGACAACCGCCGTGATCGATGTGCCAGGTTCCATGAAGTTGTGATGGATGACACCTGAACCAGACCACCAAACAGTCACCATCAGTTTCTTCTGGTGGATGCCTCGTTTGGAGCAGTGTTTTGGTGGTTCAGCTTGGTCCAACCATTGCGATGAACGCTTACGATTGTCGTACATGATCCATTTTTTATCGCAGGTAACAATTCGATTGAGAAATGGTTCAGTTTTGTTGCGAGATAAAAGAGAAAGGCATGCCTCGAGTCGTCGTTCTTTTTGCGCATCGTTCAATTCGTGCGGCACCCACTTGTCTAGCTTTTTCACCTTGTTGATTTGCGCCAAAT